GATGCAAACTACGAATTTAAGATGTCAGAATCAAGGGGGTAAACAAATTCAACTAGCTCAGGAGTGTTTTAACAGACGACAGAACATGTGACACCAAAAATCTGAAAGTGCACTGGAATAGCAAAAGACCTAAAACAAAGTATTAAGAAACAAAAAAAAATCGTTCGTACCAAAGAGTGCTGAACTGCTATGTAATATAAATCCCCCTATATGGTAGTTTTTGTGATATCAACAAACACTTGTTGACATCTTTGTAATGTCAACGAATACTCGTTATCACTTTCGTAATACTCGTTGTAGTAGAGACTTTGCAATCGCTGATACAACTATAGTACGCCGATAATCCGTACAGTGATCCGAATAGAGAAATATTATAGTGAATAGAGCAGAGAATAGTGGTCTGTATAGAATAGAGGATAGAGTAGAAATAGCGATCCGAATAGTAATAGAGGATAGACTAGAAATGGTGATCCGAATAGTAATAGAGGATAGACTAGAAATAGCGATCGTTTAGACGTCACGCTACTACCTATATATGCGTTTCCTTTATGATCACGTGATTCACTTAATTCAATAATGGTATCGTCTGTGTTTATCCACTGGCTACCTATGTTCAAACTCAAGTGTCGGCAGAGACACTTTATTCCTATATAATAGTAATAAATACTGGAAAATTTCTTCACACCTGAAAAGGAGGCATGGAACCAGTGAGGTGTGGTTCTATGCTGAGAATACTATGGACGGAACATGTAAGGACGAAGTGGTAAGAAAAATTGGAAGGAAAAGGACCCGTATTTAGAATCAGATAGAGACAGTTGATAATGAGGAAAAAGAACTGGGAGTGTTTGAAACTCACAGGACATACTTAAGGAACAGAGAAAAATATCGAGTAACCTACCTAACGCGTTTATATAAATGGATGGCGGAACATTGGACTTGGAGCGATAGTAAGAGAACTAACATTGCTAAGAACTATAGAGGAAAAGGTGTTGGAGAGAGACAACACAAAAGAATAATAATAAAGGTTGGATAAAATCATGGATCTCGAGATTCACCTGCAACATTTTATAATTTAATGCGTGACTCGTGGAAATATTAATTGATTTCTGTTCTTACCACAGTTAATATAAAAGGTAATTAGAAAAAAATTCAAACTTTATTTATATTTATTTTTTTTGCCGTCTAGTTTATGTTACTGAAATGAAAATTCGCATATTTTCTTGGTCGTTGCCGTAGACAAAGTAGTAAAACAAAGAAAAAGGACTAGCCATAAATTTTAAAAAGGCAGAATGTACGGCCATTAACAAAAGGGATGCAAACAACGGATTAAAGATATTACAATCAAGAAGTTACGTTCCCGTCATTCATCACCATATTAACTACTTACAATATTGTGAAAACTATCATCAGTCGAGATTATTAAATCATTTTGTATATCTCTCGACATAGAGGAATAAATATTATAACGTAATGTCTTTGTTAATATTTAATATAAAATTGATATAGCCAAACGTGCATATAACAGTAAAAACGTATAGTTTATTTATACCTTGTGGCTTTCAAACACCTAAACTTCATAACTCTTAAGCAAGTATTACCAATCATGTTCTAAAAAGGATCCCTGTAAACTTTCGGATATTAACTTTAACCTTTGCTTAAATAGTTTTGCTGTCCTTGTCCAAAACAGAAAAAAGTCAGTTTTTGAGATGATAGTCACTAGTGATGAGCAATAGATGTTTTTTTATGTTGATTTTACAAGAAATGAAGAAAATTTTAGCTACATCAAGGACAGCCATTAACAACAAAATTTACATAGAATCTACATAGAATGTGCGGTTAATGTAGCGGTTAGTGACTCGAAAAGAGAAATCGTTGAATCGAGTTCGAATTTTAGTCGAGTTCGTTACGATATTGAGTCACCCCCGCCCCCCCCCCACGAGGGTGTCATGTGGCACAAGGCCTTTTTAATGTGGGCATACCGAGTCCGTGGGCTCGGCCAAAAATATGCCCATTGAACCCGTATAAACAGGTTCAGGGCCGGTTTACCTCCCCGAAGGAGACTCCGTCCTTCGGCGGAGCCTCCTTCGGGTTCCTCCCGTCCGTAGGAAGAGAGTTCAACCGAACAGTCGGTTAAGAAGTGAACGACTGACTCACTCATGCATAAAGGAAAGGTATGAATCCATCTCTCTTCACTTAACTGGGTCCACTTGCCATGAGGTGGCAACCAATCTAGGAGAAAGAAAACTCAATTCTGGAAAAATTAATCCAGTCAGGCTTGCCCTTAACCGTTGCTATGACCGGTGTCTCTACGGCCTTTAATGGTTTGCAGGAGGGAACTCTTTTTATAGAATTCAGAAAGAATTCTTTATTAGAAAATAGTGGAACCTGGACAAACTATTATTGCGCAACGCTACAGTGAGAAATTAGCTCATTTAAATGACAAAAGAGGAAAGGCCTTCTAGTGGAAGCAAAAAACGTGACAATGGCCGTCAAAGGATTCGACTGGTGATTTTTATTGCATGATAATGCCTGCCCTCGCGTTGAAAATGCAACATAGCAAGCAATCCTATTGCTGACGTGATAAGTTCTATATTCGCCTTTTTCTGCAGACGTGTCGTTTGTTTCGCAGCATGCAACACATTTTGTCCAGTGATTCCAGCGTATTCAAGGTCTCTAAATTTGCTGGAAGAATTTATTGATGCTAAAAACAGAATTGTTCTTTTCTGATGGGTTACAACATTTAGCCGAAACTGACGTAAGTTTTAAAAAATAAAGATAACGTCATTTTCCATTGATTTTTTTTTTTTTTTTTTTTTTTTTAATTTTATGAATTTATTCGAAGAAAATACTGAAAGTTTTCTGTCAAATTAATACTAATATAGATATACACTACAGATGAAAAATTTCGGGAAACCCTCTGGATTAGATAATTAGTAAGTTTCATAACTTCCCTGGTTTAATTAACTTCTACCAAGCTGAAATTATTTAACCTATTAGTCCATTTTTTTATTTTTATTTTTTATTTTATTTTTTATTTTATTTTATTTATTTTTTTTTTTTTAGAAAATGGGTTATCTAAAATTTAAATACCGTCATCCCTCTACTTTTAGAGAAACTTTATGCAGTAAAATATCAATGTGTCAATTTGATTATTATTATTGTTGTTGTTGAATATATGATAAAACCCTTCATGAAAGGAAACCCCTTTTGGCCCGAAATTAATTAGTAAATTACTTTTGAAAAAAGAATGCTACCTTTTAATTTTAGGCTTTATTTTAAAATCCAGAGAATGGTGCCAAATTTTGGGTCTATAGTGTATATAACATATAATCATCTATACCTTATCAAAAACTAAATGTGAAAGCACAGGGCTATTAGCTAAGTCTTTTAAGGTAGATACAATCGATAGAAATTACAATAATATATGATTAATAGGATATATTGTGAATTTAAGAAAAAAAATTACAGTTGCTAACTAGACCAGAACAGCATTTTAATTAAACCAGAAATACAAAAATTTCTCAAAGCGAGTTTGTTAAAATCATTTAAACCTTTCGGTTCCCAGGGCAATGATCATCTTGCTGATAAACGGCAACTCTCTCTTTTCCTTTCGTTATCTCTCTTTTTAAAAAAAATTTTTTTTTATTCAAAGATTGCAAATTTGATTGACTTTGACTTTAAATTCTTTTTTTCTTGACACTTTTGATATGGTGGCAGAGAAACATTAAATTGTTAGGACAGTAGAACTTCTCTCTTGGGTTTTGGTATGAAAACATTTTGATAAAATGGTGACAATGATGTGTTAAAAAGAAGTTCACCAAAACTTCTTAACATCATTCTGGAACAGCAGGTTTCCAGCTTCTTTTAAAAGAATTCAAACCTGTTTTTTCTTAAAACAGTTAATGTATAATGATTTAAAAACACACACATGCGCGTGCACACACACACACACACACACACATATATATATATATATATATATATATATATATATATATATATAGTGAGCCCCCGCCTATTCGCGTTTCAGCATTCGCGGATTTTTCTGAAGAATATATGTACTTGTTATTCGCGGAAACCCCGAATATTGGCATGTTTTTTTTCTGAAGAACCTATGTACAAATTATTTGCTGAGAACTCCCTCGATTCGCGTATGTTTTCGATAGAACATATTTAAAATATTTCTTGTATTATTTTTCTGTTATTTAAGTGACTTAAAACATATAGCAGTCCATTTTATGGTAAAAATTGACAGACTTATACATCTTCATTGTAAAAAAAACAAAAAAAAACAAACGCAAATCATATGTAGTGTTTGGGCTTTGTTCTTTGTTAGGATCTTAAAAGTGGCTTTTGCTAAGTCTGTGGGCATCATCACAGTTCTGTTTTTAGAAAATGCTTTAAACTTTATATTTTATGTCTTGTTACACATATTTTATACAGTATTTTCAATGGTTGTATCGATCTATGCGAAATTAAAAACGGTTATTGTACGTATGAAAGAAAATTTATGCTAAGTGTACGGTCACCAATACTATTTTTTAAAAAATATTTTAAAAAGTGTTTCTAAAGTATTTAGGATGAAAGTTTAAGGCATATGGGGTTTTAAGAATCAAAATAGGTACTTATAAGCACTTTTAGGTCGGGAGTTACAACTATTCACGGCCAGTTCTGGTCCCTAACCCACGCGAATACTGGGGACTCGTATCTATCATCATCATCCTGCGGCCTCAGCCGAGATTGAACTCCCTGTCATAGCACCTAAAAGATCTTCCTTAGGGATCAATGTGTCTCCTTTTATCCTATCTGGAAAGGTTAACTTGCGTGATCGAATGTCAGATGATGGGTACCTCCAGAGTACAAATGATGAAACAAGTTCATCTGTGGCACGTGCACAATGCCCGGCGAACTGGACACGACTTTTGTAAACTAAGGTTGATACTCTCGGTAAGTCTCCATATATCATTTCTAGAGTTAGGCGGTTTCGCCATGAGATTAAGACTCTTCTTAAAAGACTGACACTATCTTCCTCTATCTATCCATCCATCTATCTATCTATCTCTATCTCTATCTATCTCTATCTCTATCTATCTATCTCTCCCTATCCATCTCTATCTATCTATCTCCATCTATCTATCTATCCATCTATCTATCTCTCTATCTCTATCTATCTATCTATCTATCTCCCATCTCTATCTCTCTCTATCTCTATCTCTCTATCTCTCTATCTATCTATCTCTCTCATCTATCTATCTCATCTCATCTCTCTATCTATCTATCTCTATCTATCTCTATCTATCTCTCTCATCTCTCATCTATCTCTCTCTCTCTATCTATCTCTATCTCTATCTATCTCTATCTCATATCTATCTATCTATTCATATCATCTATCTCTATCTCTCATCTATCTATATATATATATATATATATATATATATATAATTTGTGTGTGTTATTAATACATAGTTAATATCATTGTCTCTAATAGTAATTATAATGAATATCGCCGTGTCTTCGATACCGGCATAGGGAATGTCGTCGTGACATAGACAAGGGTTTTTCGAACCGGAATTTTGGAAGTTGTATAGATAAGGTCGTGCGTTGTGGTATAACAGGTATAGGCTGGGAATGAGAAATCTGCGAGCCGTGTTTCAGTCGAGTTTGTTACGTTCACTTACACATCTATCTCTTCTCCCCCCAGCTATGGGTTGAATAGCAGGACAGATTGGATCCTATAACCTTTATTGGCAACCAGTCTCCCGTAGAATGAAACAGCAACCTACTACGGGAAAATCTTCTGCCAAATCAGTCATGTATCGAAAGAGACCTGATTGCTCAAGCGTGTATCACATGTATCACTTGACTGACTAATAGATAATAAAAAAAATATAGTGCAAATGATTTTACTATAGAAACTCATTACAAATGTGGGAAAAAAATTGTTAATGTTAAGCAATTATAGGCAACTTCACTACTGGAATAAGGATATGAACATTTGTATCATATCGGCTGAATGATAAATAAGATAGTTGCATACTTCCAACCTGTTTTCAAGCACTAGTTATTTGAATGAGGTTGAAATTTCTAGGGAACATAATGAGGAAAGGGGGCTTGAAAAATTTGATACTCATAGGACGGATTGAAGGCAAGAGGGACAGAGGAAAACAACGGATCAACCTACCTAGTGAGCTTGAGTAAATAGATGGCGGAGCAAAGTTCAGGAGAAATTAAAAAAAATATTAAGCACTATAAAGGACAAGAACTTGTGGAGAGCCATGATCGCCAATTCTTGAAGAGACACGGCGCACAGATGAAGTAATTAGTTTTTTCAATGATATAATAGACAGGAATAGCGTTTGAAAACAGTTTATAAATGAGTGCATATTTCTAGTATTTAATCTTTTTGAACTGTTTTTTGTTTCTACCCGCAGTTTGCGTTTTCTATATGTGTCGCTGATGAAATACTGGTTAATTTTCTCACAGATGAGCAGCAAATATGAGGCGACAGAAATGTGGCTCTACAGAAGGATTCTGAGAATACCATGGACGTCGCGTATAAGCAACCATGGAAAATAGAAAATACTCAAGACACAAGGGGGCAGATGGCCAGATTATGTAGATAGATAGCAAAACATGTAGTAAGAGGGATGGTAAAAAAGACAAACCTGAGTAAGAACTGTAAGGAATAGGATGTTGAGGAGAGCCATAATCACTCAAATCCTGAAGGGACACGGCACATGACGTGAGAAAATGATTGGATTATAAACCTATCGAGCTACACGACTGATTTGGATTAAAACTGTAATATCTGTGCCTCCTTTAAAGTGTTTCATAAATGTATGTAATTATATAAATTGGACTCTCCTGTCGTTTTCGACGTATGAAGGTCAAGCAGCTCTGTTCCTAGAACCAACAGCCAGACGATCCACACATTTGATTATAGTGGTGAGGTTTTGTTAAGCACCACTACACATTTTGGAAGAGCCGATAACTGTTGCATAGTATGCCACAAGGCCCCCAAACGACCCTCCACAGGTTTTGAATTCAGAGTTGTCCTTCTCCTAAACTGTTCGCCACCCATTCGACTATAGGACTCAGTCTATCCTGCTATTTTATCCATAGATTAGGGAGGTGGGAAGAAGAGATGGATTTCCAAGTAAGGGAATGCAATGAACTCGAGTGGAATTCGAACTCGTCTCTCCGATTCCTCAATCTGAGCTGCTTTGCTGAATAAATTATTAAATTCTGAACAAACATCCGTTAGAATTCCTTCTTAGGCAGAGTGAAAACTTTTCAGCCCCACCTTATATAAAACATATATTGAGGTAATAAGAATTCAATCGAATAAATTTTCTTTTGTCCGGATCACCTGTCCCAAATTCATATTTTGGTTGAGGTACGTTTTGTTCGAGTACTTTCAAGTCTCAGTCATAATCAGGAACTTAATGGTGATAGCGCCATAACAACATGTTTTATTAGCTTCATTCTGATATTTTTTTGTAGATAACTCTTCATTTCAGATTTCGTATCATATAAGTAACGTCGTGTAAAATCGTTTCGAGTATATTAACTATTTTAGATGCATTTTAAATATTTTATACATATTTTAAAATTCCATTATCCGAGGTAAAAACTTTTATTTGCAGGTTCTTTCTTTAGTATCATGATAACTTTTAGTATTTTCAGTTTTTCTTTCCAGTAACGGATGTATTTTCGTATTATCTAATAACGGTTTTCTTGTTAATAGTTGCGTTTTGGCTATTTGTAATGTTAAGACCGATATATGCACGAATTGCGATAGCTTTCGATAAATCCGTCGAAAAGGCCACCAGGTGGTTGTGGATAAATAGGGCTAATGAGTGGCCCAAAACTACTAAAAATACGAACGTTCCCAGTGTAGATGAACATACGTCTTAAATACCACCACGAAATACTTTTAAAGCTTAAATGTGTATATAGATTTGTATATATGTATGTTAAAATTGTATATATAGATGGTGAGAAGCTTCAGAGAAACAATTTATTTGAGTTGCATTCAGTTGCATATTCAACGACTTCATTTTTGCATTTTATCTTTCGAGTAGATTTTATTTTATTGCAAAAAATATTCTTACATGTAATCTTTCCTTTCCTTTACTCACAATTTTTTTTTTCGTAATTACCCATTTTTCATTTCTGTTTTACTTTTTTTTTTATTTACTCGTTTTTTCAATTGGTTTCCTTTAAGGATAATTTTTTTAAGAGTAACTTATTTTAACTAAATTTACACAGTATTTTTTCTTTTAACTATTATTCAATATGTAAATCAATATCTTGATTAATTTATTTTAAGCAATTTTAGTTATGTTATTTCTCTTAGTTTTTAAACAGAATTTCTCCCGTTAAGGATAATTTTTTGGGAGTAACCTATTTTAACTAAAATTTACACGTTATCATGTTATTTTTTTTTTTAACTAGTATCTAACATATAAATATCTAGATTAATGAATTTTTAAGCAATTTTAGTTAAATGTTATTTCTCTTAGTTTTTAAACAGAATTTATTAGAGTATTAACCAAATTATTCATAGCGCATTTTAGGAGTTTTCTTTTCGTAAATAGTCTGTCATTTTAATGACTATTGTAAACATTTTGTTAAGTGTAGTTAAGAAAAATAAGAATAAAAAGGAAAGTTATAAAAAGAGAAAGACCAAACAAATAAAGTATAATAAAGTTAAAAGGGGAGAAAGAGAAAGAAAAGTAAGTCGTAAGACAAGCCAATATAATAAATCATTTTATTTTATTATATATATATAAGCTCTATCTCTGATATTGAGCGCTTTCTAATAAGTACCGCGCATATAATATATAAATAATTATACATATATATATTTATTTATATACACTTTTCATACACACACACACTTCTTCTCTTCTTCCAAAAAATACCCTGTCTTAGCCGCATGTAGGAAGATCAGTACAATCAAGCATACCCGTTCTATAACATCGAATAGCCTAAGTGAAGTCTTGATTAGTTGCCGTTTTCTGGGGGAACTTAAATAATGCACGTCCTGAAGCTAGTAGCAAATTTTATTCTGGGTGCGGACCGAATACTGATCATATTCAGTCGGGTCGCCCATCGAGGAAGTCTGTTGTTTATTTAGACCCGAGACTTCTAGTGACATGGGAGTAACAACACTGATGACGCACCGAGATTCGGCACTTAAAGGTGTATGTTTAATAATTCAAACGTATATCTCTATCTATAAAAGGCAGGATGTGTGTGTGTGTAACGAATGCACGGCCGCAATTTTCGACGGATTTGCACCAAAATTTACATGCACATGCGGGAAGGCCAAGACCGACTTTGCATTTCCCAACTCCCATCGATAGTGGAAATAATCATGCTTCTACGGCAGTTTTCATGTAGTTTGCGGCCATTTTCTACTGGCCAGAGTGAGAGCCAATATCTGGCTGCCACGACTAGACAGGAAGATTCTATTGGCCAGCGTGTGAGCCAACAGCTGACTGACACTAATGTTAACTTGCATGCAAAAAAAAATCGATAGCTGCATTCGTCACAAGTGGGAAAAATTTAAATCTGCATGGCACTTTACTCTAATTGGCTCATTCGCTTGCTTAAACTCAACGTTGATTCTGATTTCGCAGAACTGGGTTGGGTGTAAAAAAGTATTTGTTGTTAAAATTCTTTTTTCATTCGGTTTTTCCAGTTACGAGTCCTTTTTTTAAAAGCTGATCGTTTTGTGTTCATTTAGTTTAGTTCTTTTTTCGTAACAGATTTAATGTTTAGTATAGAGCTTAGAAAATTCGCAGTGTGAGATAGGCAAGAAGTAAGACATGTAGCAACATCAGCACTGCAAAGGGCACTCCTTTAAAGGCAAGGAAGGGCAAACATATTTTAAGTCAAGTGATAGCGATTGCTGTATGAGTTGTACAATTTTTGTATCAAGCACGGGCAACGCCGGGCCATACTGCTACTTGTTAAATATAACGGACAACGAATGTCTATCATGTTTGGTCATAGGCCGTTCTAAGCTTCGTATAGTTGCTTTAATTTCGAGAGAAAATAAAGACAAAAACTGTCCAACATTTGAGTATTTTTTATTATGCAGTTCCTGTATGTGACAATATATGAATAAGAAATTTTATTGGTCGAATTATGGAAGATGATGTCATGCAATTTTTGCCTGTTTTCTATTTCATAAGTGTATGTTTTCTTCCAGTTGTCGCACAACTTTTGGAACACCCTGTATATAGTCATTCATTTAAAATAACTTTTCAGTGGAATATGAAGAAAAAAAACAACAAAAAAAAAAAACAAACAAACATCCAAATCACTCGTTTCTGTTAGATTATTATGTAATAAAGTTTATATGATATTTGCCATAGTTGTTGGAAATTTTTGCTGGAAATGTAAATATTTAATTACGAATGGAAAATTAGATGAAATAAAATGTATTTTTTCTGGGAAAATATTTATAAAAAAAATATTAAGAAATGGGTTTATTCTTTTTATTTTATTCTCAATCATAGCAATTAAAAATAAATCTGCTGGGCAGAGGTTGGGAAAGTGAAAACTTTCAACTGTTAGAGGGATGATAATTGCTTATTCCTCAGAACCATATTAAAATAATTTTCCCTAGCAATAATTCAGGATTACATGCACTCGTAGGGTCAAATAACACATGTGTCCTAAATTTTAGTTAAATCCATCCGCTCGTTCTAATGTCTCTACACAAACGCACATAAACTCTATAATTAAGAGATTGGAAAACACTTCCGTTATATTTTATAATGCCTTGTTAAAGTCTTGATAGTTTTTTTCTTTTTATTTTTTTCTCTCTCTTTAAATTATGGTTACAGAATGGAAAGTAAAATAAAGACAACAAAAGAAGAAAAAAAAAAACATTGAGAGTCCACATGTTGATTTTGTACAAGGCCCAAGAGTCACTCGAGGTAGAGGGTTACAGTATAAGAGGCACGGTTAATGGGGGAAGATAACGTGCAACCAAAGTTAAGATTATGGCAATCAGGGAAGCATCCTCTTGGGAGTATGTTAAAAAAAGCTGCACTACGTGGGAAGAAGCTGCTCGAGTGGAACTTGCATCTCACCAATGGAATACGAAGGGAATGAGGGTGGTCCATTACAATGGGCGTGGTATGGTGGGTCTTAGTAGTGAAGGTGTGTGATATAAACATAAGAGAAAGAAATAGTAATTGATTTTGAGGATAATATGGCGCATTGATTACGATTGATCCTAAACATGAATAGATTAAGATTGTAGTGATCAGGAAGCATTGAAGCGGGAGTATAGCCTCCTGGGAGGAAGCTTTCGGAATGTAACGTCCTTCTTACCGAATGAGTAGTGGTTTTCTAAGCTCGGCTTAGATGTGGCACAAGGCCGAAATTATGGGGGCACCCAGTGAAGATCGAATTCACTACTCAGTCATAATTGATCTAGCAAGATAAGCTTTCTAACCATTACACCACGTCGAGGTGCCCTTCTTACCGAATGAGTATGTAGGGAATGTGAGTGATTCGTTCCTGTAAATGTAGCAAAAAGAAGAGGGTCTTGGTTGTAAACGTCCGACTTGGTGTCACTAAAGAATGGAGATCATTTGGCGCTGGAAGTAACGATAGGCTTGTGTTGTTGTGTCAGAGGGAAACCTTCTGTAGCGTTGAAAATAATTAAACACTGTTGAACTTTACTAGAATGTGAGAATTGGGAAACTCCAGCCCAGATATGGCTGCAATTGTCCCTTTTGAACTAATTTAACTTCACTGTTAACTACTTTGTTTGAATCAGCAAAACGTGTTGAAGATGCTTATAGAATAACCTAACGGTGTCTGAGTTTGTTGCAAGAAACATTATCGTTAATTATAGTAGAGATATTATTTCATCATACATTTGTTGCTTTTTAATGTAATTCTCAGGTCGCTTTTATATTCTGCTACTGTTAAATAGTTTAGATTAAAAAGTCGCCCCCACCCCGAGAAGATTTGACCTCATCCCATATGACAGAAATCGGATAAATTTTGCTATATGATTAAATTTGAATTGTGTCTGCTGATGAGTCTAGTGGTCAAATGGGTAAATCACTAATCACGTCAGAAACAGGTTAAATCATACCAGAAACGATGGCATTATTTCAGAATAATTCTTTTGCATAATTGTAGATTGTATGAAAAACCTGATTATTTTTTTTATTCATTAAAAAAGATGAAAAAATAAAATCTTGTGTAATTTTCAGAAGGTATCAACATTCAAAATTTGATTGGACAGTTGGAATACTTTGTCATAAATTCTGTAATTGTGTATCGATTGCTTCTTTCCTGTTAGCACATATTCATACCCGTTAGGTCTCATTGATATGTTGCCAAAAGACGAAAGGATTACTTAATGAACTAATCCTTTCCTTTCATTTACACGTTACAACATTCCTTCACACTTTTGCCCCATTTACACCTTACCACATTCCCTCACCCTTTTTGCCCCATTTACACCTTACCACATTCCCTCACCCTTTCGCCTCATTTACACGTTACCACATTCCCTCACCCATTCGCCTCATTTACACGTTACCACATTCCCTCACCATTTCGCCCCATTTACACGTTACCACATTCCCTCACCCTTTCGCCTCATTTACACGTTACCACATTCCCTCACCCTTTCGCCTCATTTACACGTTACCACATTCCCTCACCCTTTCGCCTCATTTACATTACCACATTCCATCACCCTTTCGCCTCATTTACCCACATTCCCTCACCCTTTCGCCTCATTTACACGTTACCACATTCCCTCACCCTTTCGCCTCATTTACACGTTACCACATTCCCTCACCCTTTCGCCTCATTTACACGTTACCACATTCCCTCACCCTTTCGCCTCATTTACACGTTACCACATTCCCTCACCCTTTTGCCCCATTTACACGTTACCACATTCCCTCACCCTTTTGCCTCATTTACACGTTACCACATTCCCTCACCCTTTCGTCTCATTTACACCTTACCACATTCCCTCACCCTTTCGCCTTATTTACACTGTGCTATATATCTTTTGCCTCATTTACATGTTGCCACATGCCTTCACACTTTCGCCTCATTCACATGTTGCCACACTTCTTCACTCTTTTGCCTCATTTATACGTGTCACATTCCCTACATCTTTAATCTCATTCACACGATGATACATTCCCCAGCCCTTTCTCCCCATTTACACGATAGCACAATCTCTCACTCTTCCGCCTTACTTTCCCTGTGTCATATTTCCTCCCTTTTCACCCTGATTTACCTGTTGCTACATTTGCTCACACTTTCGGCTCATTTACGCGATGCCATACTCCTACAACTTTCATCGCATTTACAGGATGCTATATTCCCCAAACCTTTCGCCTCATTTAGATGTTTTCACTTTTTCCCACCCTTTCGCTTCATTTACTAGTTACCACATTCCTTTCCCATTCGCCCCATTTATACGATACCATATTCCCTCACCCTTTTGCCTCATTTCCACGTTGCCACATTGTCTAACCTGTTCGCCTCATTTACACGATGCCATATTCCCTGACCCTTTCGCCTCATTTCCACTTTGCCACATCTTTTACATCTGTAGCCTCATTTTCACGTTGCCACATCTTTTACATCGGTAGCCTCATTTTCACGTTGCCACATCTTGTACATCTGTAGCCTCGTTTTCACGTTGCCACATCTTGTACATCTGTAGCCTCATTTTCACGTTGCCACATCTTTTACATCTGTAGCCTCATTTTCACGTTGCCACATCTTTTACATCTGTAGCCTCATTTTCACGTTGCCACATCTTTTACATCTGTAGCCTCATTTTCACGTTGCCACATCTTTTACATCTCTAGCCTCATTTTCACGTGGCCATATCTTTTAACCCTTTCGCCTAATTTATACGTTACCACTTTTCTTAATCTTTTCGCCTAATTTACACGTTGCCATATTCCTTACCCTATTCCTTTCATGTACTCATTACCACATTCCTTACCAATTTCGTTTAATTTACACGTTGCAACATTTCTTACCCCACTTCGTCTCGTATACGTCGTTGCCATATTTCTTACCCATTTCCTCCTATTTACATGTTGATACATCCCCTCATTTCGGCCCTTTTTCGTTTCCTTCAAACTTTGCCACATTTCCCTCCTCTTGTTTCTTTAGATATCAGATTATCTGATACCAGTGAATATTTTTACAATAAAATTGGTGACAAGAAACCAATATTGGTACTATTTTCAGAATATACTTAAATTTATATGAGAAATATAAAACATAAATATATTTCGAAAATCTTCTCAACATCGTTTAGTTGACACCAATTTTATTGCAAAAACATTGAAATAAGAAAATCTTACACAGTGTACACGTTAACATAAAGTTTTCATTCCTCCTTCCTCCATCTACGACATTTTTTATTACTTCCCTCCTTATATATATATATATATATATATATATATATAAACATAAACTTTTCGTTCCTTCTCCCCCGCCACATATAAACGTTTCACTTCTTTCTTCAACCCCAGGCTACACCCTCATATACAAATTAGAATTACCTGAGTTAAGTGGGTGTAGTGTATGTATGCTTATATGTGCATCTAGTGTTGTTGAAATGAAACGGTCTGGTTCATATATTGCCAACACCTTGTTTGTTTTTGTCATGTTTGTTTTGTTTTGTCGTATTGATCGGCTAGACATTTATATTAACATCAACAGAAGGAAAGAGCTCCATTGTCCTTTTCAAATGTTGATGTTTATAAAACTTACTGATTAATCTAGCGAATCTAATTTCAGTTATTAACATTATTTTTCTAACTAGAAATCTTTTATTATCACAAGCAAAGAATTGGAAATGGATATATGAGCACTTGTTTATTCTTTGTATTTGTAACGAGCAGTGATTATTAAGTGAACCGAATTATATTTGTTGTGTGTTATTGTAACGTAGCAAACCGACACGTCTTAGCGGTATTTATGTTAGCGCAATACTATTAAAATACATCAACTTAAAGAATAAAACGGTTTCCTGTCCATTTTAAAACTTATTAATGTTGTCTTCGGTCGTGCTAATTTCGATAATAAAGGTTCGATTTTTGTATGTTTGTTTCAGAACGTAAATATGAAATCCTATCAGAGGAAAAATAACTTAAAAGATTATGAATTGTTGCATAATATAGTAACCGTTACTTTTTTTTTACAGAATAATCGCCCAATTATTTCACATATGTCATTATCTTATACAAAATTTATTAAACCTTTTACTTTTCTTGTTTTCTCCATTTATTGATGTTTCAACACTTTACTCTCAAAAAATGTTTTTCAAAATTGTAAACACATATATACAAAATATTGACACCAGATAAGATCTGAGTAGGAATTAAAGCTAACTTTAAATTTTAAATGTCGTTGGAGTTTGGTTAATTAAAAACTAGTCTACCTTTATTCATTGGCAATTGAATATTATATAAATTATGAAGAAACTGAAATATCTGAATGTCGATACTATAAACCACTTTCTGTAGCTTTTAAACAATCTATTTTAAAAGAAATATTGTTCTTTGATTAGTGGTAAGCTAAGACAAATGAGCATTTCACAATTAAAAACTAGACTATTTCTATTTAGAAGTTTGTTAGTTGCTAATTTAGTTTGCATTTATTTATAGAATTAACTTGTCATACTTAATTAAATTGTAAATTTACCTATGAACATTTATTTTTATGGTCAAACAGGCGATGAAAACTATTAGACGACTTTTATTGACACTCTGACTATTGATCTCATCTTGTCGTTGTCGTTATCACAACTTTTCGGCCGTTACACTTTCCGGCCTTCATCAAGTGCTTGTTAATCAGGGTAACCCTCATGGAAATCCTAAACTGAACCATTTATTTAATATATGAGATTTGTTAATCGGGGTGCTGAGTTCCAGTTCCCATTGGGTAGCTATATTCACTTGCGCGCAAATACTCTTGGGGAAAGGTATGAATCCATTTCTTCTCTCGCACCATTGGGTTAATTAATAACACTTGTATCACTAAGCTATTATCTTTTAAAAATTCTTGCAATCCAAAAATATTTTCTGGCTTTAAATAACCTGAAAGGGTTGATAAGTCGTAGAGAATAAATCAATCTATCAATGACACGTCTAGGGATATTTCGTCTAGTTCTTATCTAATATTGCTAATTTATTGCTCGCCCCATTTCCATTGAGTCGAAGTCAGCACTGCCTATCGCAGGGTCTGAACTCACAATTACTATATTACCAAGTTGGGCACTTCGAGGCGGTGTAATGAGTAGTGAGTTCGATCCTCATTGGGTGCCTCATAATTTCGGCCTTGTGCTACATCTAAGCTACGCTTGGAAAATCAGTAGGGCACCTCGAGGCGGTTTAATGGTTAAGCAAGCTTGTCTCGCTAGAACAATTACGACTGAGTAGTGAGTTCGATCCTCACTGGGTGCTTCCTACTTTCGGCTTTGTGCCACATCTGAGCAGTGCTAAATAAGATCTAAACGAGATCGATATCCATGGTTGAACGAGAACAAAATAATGGGTTCAGTTCGATATTCCTTGAAAGTTACCCGGATCAACAAGATGAAGGTTAGAGGGAACAACTGTCGAAACGTTGTGATAATAACAATAGTCTTAGTATAAATAAGGATAACTCCTCATCTTAGAAATTCATACAGAAATTTATAAAGGTACGATCACTAGTAAAGGTTCCTTCTCATTTCTTGGAGGAACCTCTTCCCTGATTTACCATGTTTTCAAGATTGTAATTCCACTCACACTTGGTCAACTGCAAGCTGGTGAGTTTTTTTTACTCTTAATTGGTTTTGAATTTAAAGTTTTCCACTTGATTATCCTGCTATTTATCAAACAATTGTCCTCATTTTTGTCATGTTCTAGTTTCGAGTGATTGATTCTCCTTCTCAGTCCATCGGATATTTGCCCATAAGTGATATGTTTCAATGGCCAAGCATCGCTCCATTCATTACCCATTTCTGGATTACTAACTGCTTCCTTAACGATGTATAATAATTATAAGTGTATATAACGGCCGAAACGTAATTTACAGAGTAAAGAAGGCGGAGTTTAGTCGTGAATATGGCAATACATTTTGACCAGTACGCAAGTATAACGGCCGAAACGTCGTGAAATGGTTGCTTCCGAACGATTAGTTTAATACATGTCATTCATAAATTAGAAAAAGAAGACATTTAACGGCCGAAACGTCGTAATATGGCTAAACTCCGAGTAAAAAGTGTGAATAATTACTAGTATACAATTCAAGAAGGCATTGTTCAATATGGCAATTGTCCAGTCCGAACGATGTTTGTCTATATTCAAAATAGACAGACTGTTTAACGAAACGTCGTTGGCAATACAGATGCCCCGGCCTTGTGAATAATTACTTCCTATTTGATATACGTTGAAGAATTTATATAAACGAACTCTTTTATTTCGTCCATCGAACGATAGATTGTAATTACTAGTTCCACATACCATGCACTTTCTGGATATTTCAGTTTCAATTAAATTCTCTTTAGTAACTCAACTCACCAAGTTTTTGTTCATAATTTCGAAAATATAGACAGATTCGACCAAGGCAGTTATAACTTTAGGTACAGGGACAACAGTTTTCTGGATTAATTACAACTAACGAAAATATCCACTGAAGAAGGCATATATAACGGCCGAAACGTCGTGAATATGGCAATACAGATGAGGACAACAGTCCGAACGATGTAAATAGTGTGAATAATTACTATACCTAATTTCGAAAAAATATAGACAGATTCTGAAGAAGGCAGGAGTATATAACGGCCGAAACGTCGTGAATATGGCAATACAGATGAGGACAACAGTCCGAACGATGTAAATAGTGTGAATAATTACTATACCTAATTTCGAAAATATAGACAGATATTCGGCCGAAACGTCGTGAATATGGTAGATGAAATCAATGGTAATTTAGTTACTGAAGAAGGCAGGAGTTTCGTTTAATTTTGAACGTTATTCTTTTGTTGTATAGACAGATTTTTTTTTTTACAGAGTTGATTAAATAGTTAATAATTACCACCACTAACGTCAGAAGAAGGCAGGAGTAGTGAAGGCAATTGCAACAGAAGATTTAGTGTGAATAAT